CATTCGTATTCTTTAAACTACCGATGTTGCGGCCCTGGCGGGGGGCGAGGCTGGCGGCGGCGGCGGCGGCGGCGGGGCAGGCGCCCGGCTCAGCGCGCTCCGGCCGCGGCCATCCCGGCGGGGCGGCGGGCCGGGTTAAGAGCGGAGCGGCGAGCACGTGAGCCCAGGGCCCGCCCCCGCCCCCCGCGGGCCCCCCCAGGCCGGGCAGGGCCGGGGCCGCCGCGACGGGAGGACAAAAGAGGCGCCGCCCGGAGACCGGCCTGCCCGCGGCTCCTCGGGGCCCCCTCGGCAGGTGCAGGGTGGGGCGCGCCCGTCCCCATCCCGCGGCCCCCGCCCCTCGCCCCCCAGGCCACCCCTCACTGGGGGACCCCGGAGTACCTGTGGGTCGGCAGGAGAAGGGAGGCAGGGAACACGGGGACCCCGGCTTCTGACCCGGTGAGGTCCGTCTGGGGGACCCGCGCGGTCGAGGTGCGGGGGCGTGGCTGACCCGCTCTGTTTCGCCCTCCAGCGCGGTACCCAGGAACGGCTTTCCCTGGACCCAGCCGCGAGGGCCCGGGTCGACCGCAGGCTGGTGGAGCTGGGAAGATCGGAGGACCAGGGATGGGACCAAAGGGCTCTCTCACCCACCCACAGCAGAGCAGGTCACTGCGGAGTCCTCCCACGCCCTGGCTCCAGACCCCTTTCCATCCTGCAGGCTTGTATTCCAGGCCAAAGATGTCCCTGTTTCCAGGAGGGCTGCGGAGATTGCTGTCACCAGAGCCACCAGCAAGGGCTGGCCTATTGCCTCTAGGCTCCTGAATTCCTCACACAGGGCAGGCACCCTAGTTCTCTCCCCTAAATATATCAATTAGCCAGGTCATTTACATGCTGTTAGCATGCCCCATTCCTGCCCCTCCCTTGCCTTCCTAAATCTTTGAGGAGCAGAAGACACCTCTGGAGCCCCCCAGCTTCCCCGCTCTGGCCAGAGTAGGTTGCCCTGTGTGCAAACCACCTGATCTTCCAAACTTCCTCTCTCCCTGTGCCCCCCAGCTCGGCTCAAGGGCTCCGGAGTAAGATGGGTCCCCATACTGGGGGCTGGGGTCTCTGATCTCTGCTAGGAATTCCAAGAACCAGAGACCTGAGATGGATGGGGAGTGGTAGGGCATGTACATGGCTGGTGAGGTCCCACCATGACCTTGTGCCCAAGGCCAGAGCATCCTGGAACCCACACTGGGCTGAGAGGTGGGAGTGGAGGCAGGGAACCCCTTCCTGGGTCCTCTGCTTCCTTAGGGACTCAGGGACTCTGCCAGGGACGGGGGAGCTATCTCTGGCTCGCGACAGCCCCCCCCACCCAGCTCTATTTTGGGCCCAGGAGAGGTGAGAAGGCAATTTCCTGGGAGGTGCTGACATCAGTGCTGGGACCGGGGTGACTACCCCCAGCAACCACCTGCCTCTCCAGCCCCAGATGTTCAGCAAGGCTGAGCCAACTGGTCCTTCACTCTGGAGACATCTTGGAAACCTCTTCCAGGGTGTAGGCATGAGGGGGCTCCCGGGAATGAGGACCTATGGTGGGATATTCCCTAGAAACTCAGCCAGGAGGGAGAGATTGCGCTCCTCATTTCAGATGGGGACACAGAGGCTCCAAGAAAGAGGTGCCCATGGTAGCTTCCTGAAGTCCAAGAGCTGGCAGTGAGAGACCATCTATCTTACCTGCTTCCCAGGCCCCCCAGGGCGAGTTCATCTTGGCCTGTCAGTTCCGGGGCCACATCAGTGGGCCACAATCCCATGTGCCTCCCAAGAGCTTACGCAGGGTTTGTCATCTCACAGTGGGAGGCACTGGACCTGGGGGAGTCTGGACCCCTCTCACGACGTGACCAAGACCACACACGGCATACCCAGTCTGTGGCCTGGGTGTCCTCGGTGAAGGGGCATGGCTATGATTTCTGTGGCTCTGGTTCCGTGGGTTTCCGCTAGGAGTCCTTCCTTGTCCCCCAGACTCCTCTCCGGTGACATCCTGAGCCAGCTCCAGGGGTGGCTCCTCTGTATGGCCCTGTGATGCCCACAGCCCCTCATCTCCCTGGGTGGGCAGCCTCAAGCAGGCCCAGCTGGGATCTTGACCCTCCTTGGACCACGCGCCACTCCCGAGCCCGAGGTCCCACCTCCTCTCTCTCGTCCTCCATGTCAGTTCTGCTACAAGCTGCACGTCTCTCCCCAGCAGAAGCTCCTTTGTTTCTCTCCTCGACCTCCGGTCCTGAGGTCAGGAGCTGTCGAGGCAGCCTCTCTTCAAGGCAGGGGCTCCCTGGGAAAAGCCTTACCCCAGGGCCACAGCTATGGCGGGCTCTTTTGGTCCTTTCTGCGCATTGCTTCTCTGTCCCAGGAGGACAGGACTCTGGAAATCAGAGGCTGGGGGCCACTATTCTGTCTTGATGCCACCCTCTGGGTCATCCCTGCTGTGGGAAATGTGAGGCTTTGGTCCCCACCCACAGCCATCCCTCAGGAGCCTCTACCACCGAGAGGCCTGAGGCTTCCTTCCTTGAAGTCCTGGCCTTCAGCCAGTTCTTCCCTCAAATTTTCCTACACGGGGCCAAGCTAGACTGATGCGGGGCCAAGATGTAAGCCTAGCAGCCGCAGGTAAGGGAAGGGGGGTCTGCTGCCCCTGGCTCCTCTCCTTAACTCTGCCCAAAAACTCCATCCTGGAAGACATGGTGGGCGTGATCCCTGCCAGTGGAGGCTGCCCAGGCCCCATGCCCAGGCTTCGAGGCCTGGAGCAGAGACCATGCCAGGCGAGGGGCTGGGGGAAGCCCCGTGAACAGCAGAAATGAGGGCTCCAGGCAACCAGCTGGTGTCCCAGTCCTGGTGAAAGGCTGTGTGACCTGGAACCAGTCTCCCAGCTGCTCTGAGCCTGTTTCCTTCTCTGTGAAATGGGAGTTGGAAAGGCCTCTCCTGGCAGTGCTGCTGGGGGATAAATGAGGGGCCAGCCTCAAGTGCTCTCAGAGCAGCGCTTGCAGCACGGGTCGGTCACTGGACCTGGGCTCGCGCTGTCCCTGTGGCCCCAGACGTGCCAAGGAGAAAACCAGCTTTGTGGCCCTTGTCCTAGACCCAAGGGACTGTTTTGTGGCTGGGGAGCCCTTGGGGCCCTCCACCCAGCACAGGGAGAGACCCCCTGCTGACATGATGTTGAGGGCTGGAGAGCAGAGAAATGCCCAGGGCATCGGAACCAGAAGTGCCTTCTATTCCCTCCCAGATCCCAGCCTGGCACCTTGTCCTTTTCACTGGGAGAGAGCCACCCCTCTGACCGGCTAACTCTCCCAAGGGAAGCCTAGTGATCCCCCCTCTCGGTCGTCCTTGTGAACCCTTCCTTCCATCTCTTGACGCTCAGGGAGGAATTAGAGGCGTGGCGGGGGGGGGGGTGTTCCCAGGAACAGCCATCCTTTGGGAGGTTTGTAGTCATGCCCCCAACGGTCCAACATGCTGGCGGGAGGTGTGGCACCTCCCCCTCCACCCCGTCCCTTTCCCCCTCACCCCGGATCCTCCTCAGATTCTGGGGAACCAGCTGTTGGAAAGTGGGGGTCCTGGAGTCAGGGTGTCTCACAGACCCCTTAGCAGCTTCAGCCAAAAAACACACGCTGGGGATGGGGCCGCGGGTCACAAGGTGGGACGTTAGTGAAAATAAGCCCTATTGGAGGGCTCAGAGAGGCCTCACAGGTGCGGGTTCCGGGGTGGGGGGGGGCAGACGAACAGTTTGCTGAGTGTTTATGTGTGTTACCATGTTTATAACCTCACAAACAGATCTAAATCTTGCAACTTCCCAGTGAGGCAGAAACTACCATTACCTCCATTTTTCAGACTAAGAAAAGTGTCCCAGGATCCTTGCCAAAGGTCAGTTATGGGCAGGCCCCAGATGGGAGCTTGGGCCCGTGGAGCCTGCAGGCACACACTGCGGGGTTCTCGGGAATATGGAACCTGGATCTCGAAGAGCAAGGTGTTCCTGCTGTCATCAAGGGGTGTTCCAGGTTGGTGACGGAGAGCGGCCTTAGCGCTGGAGTGCCCGCGGTGGCCAGACAAGGGACCAGGAGGTGGCAGAGAGCAGGGAGGAGGCTGGGAGGCTTGTAAGGAGAGGCCGGGCAGCAGGGGGAGGGACCAGGAGGACCTGAGTCTGATGGGAGAGGCTGAGGGACAGAGGGAGAGAATGCCAGGAGAGGCGAGGGACACAGTGGGACACAGTGGGACGCAGTGGGAAGGGGAGGCAGTCCTGGAGGAACGGGTTTCTAGGTAAGTAGGTCTGTAGTAGTGGCAGGACAGAGGGATATGAGGGACACGTTGGCCATCAGGTATTTTATTATTGGAAAGAAGGACCCTTGAAGTCATCTCATCCAAGCCCCTCACTGAAACATGAAGAAACTGAGGCCCAGAGTAGTCGAGGGACTTGCCGGAAGTCAGTGTGAGCCAGGGTGTGGCGAGATCCCCTGCCTTTCCCCACAGCGCAGGGGGAGAGTAGAATTCAGAAGGAAGCCAAGGGTGGAGGTACCAATGCTGGTCCCATCTGCAAAAGGAAAGAGCAGGGCACACATGGGGCTGAGGACAAAGATCCCAGGTTGGGGAAGCAGGGGTGCGGGAGGGCGGGTTAGGGCTCCAGGAGCTGACTCAGGGTAGACATCTAGGCCTGTGCTCAATGAGGCTGGTACAGAGGCCCGAGGCTGGGGGAGGGAAGGACCAGGCTGGTGGTGGTGGGGGACACGGAGCAGGGAGCCAGGTTTCAAGGTGGAAAAGGAGAGGAGGTGGCCAACTTTGATAATTCTCAGCTTAACCGTGACCTTGGGAGGGGCAAACCCAGTGGAGCACTTCAGGCAGAGCCTCCGTGGCTTTGGAAGGGCGAGCAGGCGCGGACATGGAGGCAGTGGCTGCAGACCGTAGGAAGCAGCTGGGGAACAGGGGGCAGTCTGCTGAATCAATGCGAGTATTTTCCAAGTTGGAGTATTAGGGCACAGGGAAGGGATGGCAAATCAGAGAAGGAATTTGACAAGGCTCGCCAGGGTGGACTGGAAAGCAGGGAGGGTGACAGGGAGGACATGGCTCCCTCTCCGAGTCAAATGTGGGAAGGGGATGGAGAGCAGGGGGAGGCAGTGCCTGTGTGGTCTGAGTCGCTGTGTGGTCTGAGTCAAGGTCATCTGCAGAGGAGTGGAAGGGGGTTCGAAAAGTCCCCATGTCAAGGAGCCACTTATGGTCTAACATATGGGCCAGCACCTCTCTGTCTGAGCTCAGGTCTCCTAGGGTCCCCTCTAAATTTATATCCTGGAGGCTGGAACGGAGACATGGATAAGGAGAGACAGCCCTGGGCCTTGGCCTGGCTGAAGAGGTGATATCCAAGGTCACAACCGTTGAGTGGGGAGGGGAAGGCCAGCCGCCTGTGAGGTTCTAGGTAGATGGCGAGGAGGGTGAGGGCACTGGGTGTGTTGGTCTTTGAGCAGCATAGGAGGGCACCCCAGAGGTCTGAGAAAGGGGTGGGGGGAAACTTCTCATCCAGAGTGGCAGTGCTGTGGGAGAAGCAACAGGGGACAAGAGAGAGGGCCCCTAGCAGGAAAGCTCATTAGGGCAAAGGAGTTTCCTTGGCAGTGGGCTGTGGCAATGCCCTCTGGAGGCGACCGCTTGGCAGGCCAAACCAAGTCAGTGACCAGAGACGGGACAGATGCAGCCCCGCCGCCCCACAGCCCTCTGGCACTGGGCGGGGGAGGGTGGCGGCTGACACGCTGTCCCACTCGTGGGGGCTCCCATCCTGCCGGCCACTTACTCCGTCCATGTCTGCCGGGCCCACAGCCCTGCTCGGGGTCACTGCAGGGCACATCGGGGCCCAACACACCGCTCTCCACCCCTGTCCCTTTGCTATTTGTTATTAACAAATTTATTTACAGTTCCTGAACCAAGGTTAATTATGGAATTTAACAGGAATGGCATAAAAAGGCCAAACATGACCTCTAGGAGGGTTGTACACACAGTTGCTCTATTTCCAAAGTAACAACTCAGGTCCTCACCTGCAGCTAGGCCCCCCCTTCCTTCTCCAAAATGAGACACAGCATAGCACCAGGCTTCTTGTAGCTCCAACATTTAAAGAAACAAACGCACAGAGGCAGAGAAGGGTGAGAAGAACCACAGTGCGAAATGCAATAAAAAAAAAAAGTGGTCAGAGAATCGATAGCAAACCCATCTCTGTCTCCAGATTAATGGCTTGGCTGAAAGAAATGGGGGGAGGTCCTTGGGGAGGGAGGGAAAGGGTGATGCAGAAGTTGGCAGGTGAACCGCTGACCCTGGCATAGCAGAAATGGGATGGGGGGGCAGCCATGGAAAAGCAGAAGGGTCCCTGGATGTGTGTGGGGGGTCTGGCCGTCCCCGGGGCTCAGGGTGAAGGTCCATTCAGTGTTGGGCTCCCCCCAAACGCAGGGGCGAGGGAGCTCTGGAGGTGCTGCTGCTGCCCCTCCTCTGCTTCGTATGTTCCTGAGGATCTGTGTGCACGCGCGTGGGGGGCTGGGGGAGGGGACAAACAGGCATTTCGGAAAGCAGGAGAGCCACATGCTCCTGGGAAGGGAAACTGGGGTGGGGGTGGGGAACACCAAAACTTGCTGCACGAGGCAAGTGCCTGCAGAGGGACAGGAAGCCAGGCCAGGGCTCCTGCTGCTCCAGCCTCTTTGTGGTCCCTCCCTACGCCACCCCTGCCTCTGCTTCCTGGAGTGGGCGGCAGGCTTGGATGACTGCCGTCCAGGTAGGGACATGGCTGGAGGGAGGGGCAGAGGGCGGCCCCCCGCCCAGACTCCTTGGTCCTCCCCACCCACAGACCTGGCGAGTGGTGGACTGGCTCTGTTGACCCCACAGAGCTTGGCCGTGACCCACAGAGCTTGGCCGTGACCACAGCTGCTCACTTGGACATCAAAGGCCAGGCCACGGGGCTCTTCTGGCTCTTGCGGTGAGGCCCTGAGGCGCTCTGTGTGGCTCTGGCCCTGGGGCCAGGGACTGCTGCTGCCCCAGAGAACTAGGGGAGCAGTCCTCTGCCGGTGCTGAGAGACAGGGAGCTGGGGGGGGGCGGAGCCACCGGGCACAGCCGGCTCCTCCGAGGCCTGGTGGAGGGCAGGGTACAGAGGCAGACTGGCTCTCACAGGTCCTCCTGGGGCCCGCATGTCAGCCGCAGGGTGCAGGTGGGCGGACAGCTGGCCTGGAGCCACAGGGCAGCAGGGCGCAGGCTAGCCAGCCACAGACAGGGCCGGGGGCTGCACGCTCTGACTCCTCAGATCCCCGGGGGCCATCCTCCCCCAGGCCAAGGGGGCTGTGTGGCCCAGCACTCTGCTGGCCTCTCTGTGGCCTGCCAGGGGAAGGGCTCTGGGAGGGAGAGGCAGGTCTGTGGGTGGCACAAGGGGAGGAGGGAGGCCAAAGGCCTGTGCTCGTGGCCTGGAAGGGGAAGGGAGGGGAGAGGCCTGCTGCTGCTTGTCCTGGTGCCACCAGGGCTGCTGGCTCTCAGGACGAAGAATGAGGCCTGTGGCTGGGACACCCCTGACCTCTTTTCGGGATTGCCACCGGGGAATTCAACCTTCCGCTTGTGGCCACCAGGGGCCACATCCGGGCTGGGCGAGAATTCCGCAGAACCAGAGCTTGTCAGGTGGCACTGGTGTCCAGGGCTCGTGGACCCTGGTGTCCCTGGGGGGTCTGCAATGACATCCATCGGTCCCCCCAGCTCCTGGCAGCTGGCTACTGGTCCTGGCATCTTGCCAGCCCCCACAGCTTCAGCAGGGGGTTCAGTAGGGGGCTTCACGCTGCCTGCTGTTCCATCTGGCTCTAGGGTACCCGGGGCCTGGTGCTCGTCTTCCTCTCTCCTCCTGGGAGACGTTGCCTGGGGACGGGAGGGCTGACTGGGAGGCAGAGTCTCGGGCCGCAGAGGATCACCATCTGAAGTTGGGGAGCCCGGATGCCTGTGGGCACAGACATGTCCAGTGGGCCTCGGGGCTCCACTCCAGAGCAGGCGGTAGGCTGGGATCCTCCTGGGTGGGGGCTGGGGTCGGGCCTGGGCGCGGCTCGCACAGGGCTACCCTCACGGGTTTGGTGTGCTGAAGAGCGCGGCCCACTTCGGGGCTCCACGAAAGGCCCATCCTCGGGCTCCCCTTGCAGCACGGCCAGTGCTGTCTGCGCCTCTCCTGGCTCTGTGGCCTGTGGTCAGTGCTGCCCAGAGGAACAGGTTAGAGGCTGTTCCATTTAATAACTTTGCAGTGGAGGCTGTGCCCTTTGGTGGCTGGAAGATGTAGCACAAGGCCTGGCTCTCCAAGTGGAGCCCAGGGAGCTGAAGACTTGGCCTGCGAGGGGAAGCCCCAGCTCCTTGGTGGGCAGCAGGGGAAGCTAGGCTCCAAGGATGCTGGGATTCTAGAGAACCCCCTGCAATCTTTTTGGGCTGGGGGTAACTTCTAGAAAGGCAAAGAGATCTGGCTCTTTACCCATCTGGGAGGGACCCAGGAGCCCCCCTCGATACTTCAAGAAGGCCACACAGGCACATCACCAGGGACAGGCCAGGAGCAGCAAAGGCTCAGCTGCGCTCCCCACCCCCACAGGCACAGCCATGCTGGTGCTGGTGGGGGCCCAGTCCTCATCGGCCAGAGCCACAAATGGAGGGTTCCCAACCCCCACCAATCCCCAAGAGAACCAGGACAGAAGCTGGTGGAAAAGAGAAAACCGCCGCAGCCTGGTCCCTGGTCCCCGATATCACTAGGCTGAGGGCTCCACCCCCCCATTGTGGGCAGCAGCAGGGGATCGAGGACAGGGGCAGAGCCGGCACAGCGCGCTCACCTGGGGAGGCCGGCCCACAGTGGGGCGTCGGCAGAGCTGCGGCACAGCTGGGCGATGACCCGATCGACTTCTGCGTATGGGGGGGCTTCTAAGGCAAAGCCCTGGTGCCGGGGGCTCTGGAGATGCTGCCCGGGGTGAGACGGGCACAGGGCATTAGACAGGAGTAGGGTGGGATGAGCAGGGCTGGATGAGCAGGGTGGAGGCAGGGGCTGGGGTGGGGGAAGGGTGCTGGCAGAGCAGACCCAGGGAAGCTGCTGGGCAGGGAGGGCTCACCACGTGGAGCTCCTCGAAGGCCTCCTGGCAGCACTCACAGAAGCCCTTCCTCCTCCTGGGCAGGGTGCGGGCGGCTGACTGTGGGCTCTGCTCGCGGTCCTTGGGTTCTCTGGGGAAAGTGCAGGGTGGGGGGAAGTGATCACGGCCGGGGGGGCTCAGGGGGGTGGACCAAAACAGTTCGGCAGGCATGGGCAGGCCTGCCCCCACTCGGGCCTCTCGTCCAGGGGTGGCAGGAGAAGCAACAAGGAAGGGGGGAGCGCTCCCGGCGGGCACCCCGTCCTGTCCCTGCCCCAACACGGCAAAGCACAGGTGAGGACAGGCGGCGGCAGGATTGCCTCCCGGGACAGACGTGGCTCGAGCTCACCCCCGAAGCCTCATCCCTCTGTGCTACGTGATGACAGGGTCAAGGCCTCAGTGGCAGCAAGGGGCCTGTGCTGTTCCTGCCCTCCACTCCCCTGACTGCCCCCTGCCCCACCGGCTTGTCCCCTGCAGAGCTGACACATTCACCCAGGAAGGACCTGCCGGTCTCCTTCTCCAACCGGACTCCTCTTCTTAATTTCAGGCCTGTATTTTTAGCGGCTGCTTGGCTGTCTGAGCAAACTCAACAAAGTCCAAAATAGTCCCCGTCAAGGACTTTCTGAGCAGGATGGAGAATTCAGAAAGCAGAAAAAAGCTGGTAATTCAACTACATGCAATCTAAAAAAAATGTATGCATGGCAGGAAATACAAACAAAAGACAAATCACAGACAGGGGAGGGGGTATTTATAACTAATAACACAGACAGAGGGCGCATTTCCCTAATACGTGGAGGGCTCCTGACAAATCAGTAAGAAAAGCAACTAGAAAAGAAAGAAAAACCGACGAGAGACAAAAAGAAGGTTCACACAGAAAGAGATTCAAATGTTCAAATCATACGAATGTACTTAACCTCATCTGTAATGAGAAAAAAATGACGATGCAGATCACACCAAGACACAGTTTTTAACCCAGCAGGCTGGCGGAGGTCGGCACGGGGGCAGGCCTGGGGTGGGGGTGGGGGGCAGCCGGGGGCAGGCCGGGGTGCATGTGGGCACATGGACATCACCCCCATGAGAAGCGATTTGGCCGCGTTTATCAACATTATAAATGCAGGAACCCTTTGACCCAGCACCTCCGCTTTTAGGAATTTGGTCCGCAAATATACGCTGAGTGAGATTGTTCATTGCAGTATTATTTATAACAGCAAAAGCCTGGAAATAATCTAAGCATCCATCAAGGAGAGACGGGCTACAGAAAGTACAGCGAGACCGTCTGATGGAAAACCCTGAAGCCCTAAGAGGGAATGAGGAAGCTTTCTAGGGACTAATGGGAAATTAATCTAGGATACATTAAGTGGAAAAGGCTAGATCTAGCCCAGCCAATGTTATGCTACTCTTTACAGAAGAGGAATGAAGGACACACAATGTACTTCTGTCCACACAAATTATGTTTTTTTGGGTTTGTTTTTTTAAAAGATTTTATTTATTTGAGAGAGAGAGAGAGAGAGAGCATGAAAGGAGAGAGGTCAGCGGGAGAAGAGCCTGATGTGGGACTCGAACCTGGGACTCCAGGATCATGACCTGAGCCGATGGCAGTTGCTTAACCAACGGAGCCACCCAGGCGCCCCACACAAATTATCTCTGGACACAGACCCACAATCTAGAAACGGGAGAGTAGGTGTGGAATAGAGACCTTTCACTTTAGTTTTTTAAAAAGATTTTATTTATTCAAGACACAGAGAGAGAACATGAGCAGAAGAGGCAGAGGGAGAGGGAGAGGCAGGTTCCCTGCTGAGCAGGGAGCCCAATGCAGGGCTTGATCCCAGGCTCCTGGGATCATGACCTGAACCGAAGGCAGATGCTTAACCATCTGAGCCACCCACCCAGGTGCCCCCAGACCTTTCACTTTATTTTATTTATTTATACTTTTAAAGATTTACTTATTTATTTGACAGAGAGAGAGAGAACGAAAGAGGGAACACAGCAGGGGGAGTGGGAGAGGGAGAAGTCAGGCTTCCCGCTGAGCAGGGAGCCTGATGCGGGGCTCGATCCCAGGATCCCAGGAACATACCCTGAGCCGAAGGCAGACACTTAACCACTGAGCTACCCAGGCACCCCAGACCTTTCACTTTAAACCTTTTGTGATTCTTGGGACACCTGGGTGGCTCGATCAGTTGAGCGTCTGCCTTTGGCTCAGGTCACCCGCATTGGGCTTCCTGCTCAGAGGGAAGCCTGCTTCTCCCTCTGCCTGGGGCTCCCCCTGCTTGTGCTGACAAATAAATAAAATCTAAAAAACAAAACAAAACCACCCTCTGTTAACTCTTGAATTTGGAACCAAAATATAATAATTTTTAAATGAAAAAAATTAAATCTTTCCTCTCACAGATTTCCTCCCCCCTTCCCCACCCCGGGCCACTCTCGCTATACTTCTCCCACGCAGACACCAATGCTTCACCGTCCTTCCTTTACAACCTCCGCTCCTCTGCCATCTGCAACCATCCCAGGCCCAGCACTGCCTACGGGTATCCCTTGTGCCTTGTGGCAAAGGTACACAGGGCACCAGGCTGTCACCTCGGCTTGCTCATGGTCTCTGCTGGGGGGACCCACAGGCCCCCCTTGCCCTGGGAACTCGCATGCTGGGAGCCTGCCTGCCCTAGTTCCCTGGTCTGTGAGCTAACCCTGTGACACAGCAGTTAGAAGGGGGTTCAAGGAGGCATATGGCCCGTCTCCCAGGCCACATCCCTTCTGCACTCTGCTCAGGGAAGCTTCCAATTCCCACCCATCTGCAGAGGAGGAACACCCACAGGCCTACAAGCCACTCTGGGCCACACAATGCGGCAGGTCCCCGGATTCCCTGCCCCCAAGTTATTCCTGACGTCAGGCCCGAGAGGCCTCCAACTCGGATGTGCACAGAGATCACCCGGGGAGCCACCCAGCTGCCCACAAGAGCACAGTTCTGAAGGCTCCATCATGAGACTGTGGTTCTGCACGTGGAGCCTGAGAACCTGCATTTTTAATGGGAGCCAAGGGCACTCTGATGAAGGTGGAGTGTAGATGTGAGTTTTAGAAACCAGCCTATGGCCCTTTGGACCCAAGTCAAATTCCTTCGTAGGGATGGAGAACACCAAGTAAAACGGATGAAGATGCCTAATATCTCTCTTCTCTGGGTGAAGTTCCCAGAATAGACTTTGCCTCTGGAGCGAACACGTGGCCATTCCCCAAACAGGACCAGCAGGCTCCCCGGGGGGGAAGGGCCTGGCCCGCGGCTTGCCCTTGGCACTCAGACCAGCAACACCCACCTGGTGCGATGCGAGCTGCCCGGGGTCGTCACGGCCTCAAAGGGACTTGCATCTTTGGGTCCCAGAAAAGAAACTTCAGGAAAGGACTTAAATTGATGGTGGAAGGGACGAAACTTCCTGAAACACAGAGAACTTCCATTTTGAATACTGTCGGGGACAGGGAGAGGAGAAGGGAGGGCCTGGCCCACCCCACCCCCCCGCCCCCGCCCCGAAGAATCCCAGTCCTGACAAAGTGGCTTTTCCCCCACTCTGGCTACTCCACGAGCCCATTTACCCTCCCTGCCTCGTCTGAGTAGAGGGGAACAAGTGGTGTTTGCCCATTTTATAGAAGAGGAAATGAAACCTAAAATGTTCCATGACCTGCCCAAGGGCTCACGGCCGCTAAGTGGTCTAGACCAGGCAATGAGCCAAGTCTCCCGACTCCTAATCCAAATTCCCACTTTCCACCTTTGAGGACTCTGGCCTGGCAGACCTAAATCGAGGAATGTTTAAACCAGATCAATGACTTTCCTATTCCAGGAAGAGGAGTCTTTGCTCTGGGCTGCTCCTCGGTACCACCCGAGGGGAGGTATTCTGAATGGAAAGGAGCAGCACAGTTCCGGGGAGTCGGACCTACACTGAATGGTTCTGCCTCAAGGTGCTCACATTCAAGAGACTTCCAGAGCCAGGCACAGTGATCTGCGGGTCCGAGCAAAGCCTGCCACTGTAGTGGACAGACACGCTGCAATAGCCTGTGCTCCAGGGGACAGTACGGGCCATGGGTTTCTGGGGGGGTAGGGGGGAGGCACAGTGAGAGTCCTGTGGTCTTGGGGTAAATTAATCAGGAGTCTTCTTGGGCCCTTCAAGAGAAGGAGGTACCCTTCACAACCCCAGTTCCCCACTTTCTTCCTCTTCAAGGTTTTGTTTCTGCCCAGAAGGCTGCAAAGTTGAGTGTGGTGAGGTCACTGGGCTTTGGGAGAGCAAGCCAACAGAAGCACAGGACACCTTGTCTCCACTCTTGCCTACGCTGCTGGAGGCACCCCAACTGTGTATGGTAACCCCCGTAAGTGACGTGTGCCGGCCACGTGCAGTGTGACACTGGGGCACTGGCGGTGTGTACGAGCCATGACCACTTGTGTTTAACTGGTAGTGAAGGAGCTGGGGTAGAGGCCGTGCAGCCCCCATCCCACTGGAACTGGAGAAGAGAGCACCTCATCACCCTCCTGCGTTCCCTCCACTCATGGTTGGGCCACCAAAGCCAATTCTCTCCTGTGCCCAGGAGCCAAGAGGGAAACCCAGGTCTGCCTGGAGGACAGGCAGGCACACCAGGCTCCCGGCATTGGGCCTTTTAGCTGCCCTGCCTGAGGCTAAAAGACCCAGAAAGCTCTGGTCCCAGGAGTCTCTGCTGGCTTCACACGGGCTTTTTCTTTAAATACAAACAAAACAACCCAAAGCCAACTTTTTATTTTGAGGTCATCATAGATTTGCAGGTTTCTGAGCCAGTACTTACTGAAGAGTCAGTGATAACCAAGGCGACTAAGAGCCCATAGCTTACCCCCATATGCCCCGGCTGTCTAGAAAGAGGCCCTACTGGGGGACAGACAGGGCAGAGTGCAGAGGACACCAGTCAGGATGGGCAGGACACCCAGATTCTGGCCTTGGGCTGAGCTTCATTGGCAACATGGCTGTATTAAGTCCCTTAATTTCTCTGACCTCAGTTTCCCCACTAAGAAAAGGAAGGGCTCTCCTCATGCCCGTCCTTCCCAGGACCTCACGAGATACTATATGTCAGAAGAGGGTTCTGTATCACCAAACAGAAGGGCTTCCAGTACAAGATGGTCTGACAAGGGAACCGCCACACCAGCACAAGCACCCTGGCTTCAGCCAAGGCGATGGTACCGGCACTGCCGGGGGCCAGCAGGGGTTCAGCAGTGAGCGTCAGTGTGCGCCCTGGCGCGGTGGGGGGAGAGGAGGAGCCATGAGCCTGGGCGGGACATGAGCGCTCCTAAAAGCAGAGCATTCAAAAGAGGTAATGCACACACAGGTCACTAACCTCTGACTCATGACCAAGAGGAGGGCCAACTGTGCAAGGGCCACCTTCAGAGGCTCCTCCTGGTCTGTGGGAGACTTCTCCATGACAGGGGGAGAGAGCGGCTTCTGGGGAAGACGAAGGTGGAGGGCTGAGGGGCTCCAGGACCCTCACATCGGCTTAAGGCCCCTGAGGACCTGTCCTCCGTGTGGGCCTGGTGAGGCTGAGGGGAGGGGGGCTCCTCACCACTCACCTGCTCTCATCTTCGATTTTGAGGAACGGTGCCTTCAGCTTGGCCACTGGAAAGGAAACGCACACACATGAGCCATCTGTCGGCTCTGGGGCAGGGCCCGCACGGGAAATGTGCCGACAGGTGAGGCTGTGCCAAGGTCTAAGAGTCATGTAGAACCAGGGCCCACGCCACCCCGAGGTGTGCCCTTCCATTCGACTGGGGTCAGCCAACACCCCCGTCTCTTCTGGTCTCTACCCGAGGTGAAAGAGAAGAGGTCCCCTAGTGGGGAGAGGCTGCAGGGGGCTGCCCACCCTGAAGCAGGACAGGGGACCCTGCCGTGTGGGGATGCTGGAGGCCGTCAGGGTGAGAAACCCGGCAGCCCCGGCTCGTTTCCGCTAAAAGCCTCGGGTCCTTCCCAACCTGCCCTCCTGCT